CTTATTGTTGGTCATGTATTGCTGGTCAGTTGGTACAGAAGGAAGTTGTGGCTCTCACTCAGTAGGTGGAGCTGCAGGAGGTGTGGTTGTGGTTGGGTCATATGGACACAGTTGCTATCTCCCACTCAGACAAAAGCAACAATTGAAAAATCATCAAAAAGGTAAATGTAAGGAGATAAAAAACACACACTGCAGAAACACACAGGAACTATCACCAAAAAGAGAAAAAAGAAAGAAAGAAAATGAGGGGCAATAAATGAGAGAAAATATTTAAAGAAATACTTTATATAGCCAAGAGAAATATGAATAGAAAATGTGGGGGGAGAGACAAAGTGCCACAATATCTGGGGAGGGAAGAATAAGAGAAAAGAGGTGGAGTAAGAGAATAATGAAGAAAAAATGGGAAAAATGCAAAAAGAAAAGCCAGGAATGGGGAGAACCATAAGAAAGAGAAAAATAGGAACCAGGAAAAGGGAAGAGAGGAAAAGCTGAAAACCAGAACCTAGGAAGGGAATAAAAAAGTATAGTAATAAAAAGTACAAAAAAAGAAAAAAAATAGTTATAATAATTTTTAAACAGACAAAAATGGACTAAAAATAAAGAAAAAAATCTAGGCAGGGTGGGGCAGGGCACCCAGGTTAAGTCAGAGCACACAGACTGGGATGGAATTACTGCTGGCCTACAAGGTGGGTGGGAGTGATGGATGGCCACACCAGTGTTCACCAAGATGGCATGGGGTACAAGAGCAACAAGGGGAATTTTGCTCCTTTCCAGTACTCAGTGTCTGGAATGTCCCTGTGGTCCTGGCAAGTCAAGCTTATTCTTAGGTCCCTGGAATCTGAGAGACAGTATGGATCTAAAATCTGTCTAAAACAGTGGGAGATAGATTAGTAATTACTCTTTGTAGTGGGAAGCCTTGGAACAGTGTATGCTTTAACTGGAGGTAAAAAAAAAAATGCCAAGAGATGACCGTTCATTTTAGGTTCTCATAGTGTGCACAACATTTGAATGCAGAGAAGGTGCTTATTCTGCAAAGGTTGTCAGCTGAAGCTGACGTTTTTTGGGGGAGTGTGTGAAAAGTGTTAAAATGTCTGATTCCAAAGAAAAATAATAGATTTGGGCAGCTCTGCTCACTTTACTTAAAATAACTTTTCTATGTACACCTATTCTTCACTTAACTAATATCTCGTTATCTGACATTTTGCATTCATGAGAATATTTTTTAAAATCTACAATTTGACAACTTTACACATTAGCAACATATGTCAGGCAGTAAGTATTTTGGTTACCTAGTGCCACTCTGACAAGAATATACCACAAATGGTATGGTTGAACAAACAGGAGTTTATTCTCCTACAGTTTGGAGGCTTTAAGTCCAAGTTCAAAATGCCACGCCCTAGGGGCTGGGTGAAAGCCACTCAACATTGGGCTTCAGCTCTGCCTCCTGCTTCTGGCCCACTAGAGCTGGAGGCTTTTCTTCACTCAGACAGCTGCTGGCTGCTGAGGCTGACAAACCCAAATTCGACACAAAAGGCACAGTCCTAATATTACCAAACCACACAGCAGGCCATTCATTCAAGTTCATTGCAAGTCCCAAGGTCGGCAGAGCATGGAGGCTGCTGAACACTTACATGGCTACAGGCAGGGTTCAAGCTCGCCATCAGCTGGAGACCATTCCCCAAGCCATCTCCCTGTATACAGGAAGTAGACCACATCCTTAAGGCAGCTATTCAGCTGTTCACAATAGATTCCACCATCGAGTTGATTACCAGTCTCATCATGGGGAATATTACATCCAGGTGCCCAGCCACTCAACCAGGCCCAGCCAAGTTGAACACAAACTTAAATACCACAGTAATGAACACAGAGGTACAAGGTGACAGTAATACTAGCTATGATGGTTAAGATTATGTGTCAAATTGCCTAAGCCATGATTCTCATGGGTTTGGCAGTTATATAATGATGTAGTTTGTCAGCTATGTGATGATGTAATTTTCCAGTCATGTGATAATGTAGTCATCCTCCATTTTGTGATTTGATGTTGTCATCCTCCATTTTCACACAACACCTACTTTCACATAACAACCTGGTCTATGGAACCTAAGTATGTTGCTAAGTGAGGAATGTTGTTGTTAGGTGTTCTTGAGTTGGTTCCAACTCATAGCGACCTCATGTATAACATGTACCCCATGCCATCTTGGTGAACACTGGTGTGGCCATCCATCACTCCCACCCACCTTCTAGGCCAGCAGTAATTCCATCCCAGTCTGTGTGCTCTGACTTAACCTGGGTGCCCTGCCCCACCCTGCCTAGATTTTTTTTCTTTATTTTTAGGCCATTTTTGTCTGTTTAACAAAACACTACCTAGTCCTGTACTATCTTCACAATCCTTGTTATGCTTGAGCCCATCATTGCAGTCACTGTGTCAATCCATCTCATTGAGGGTCTTCCCCTTTTTCTCTGACCCTCCACTTTATCAAGCATGATAGCCTTCTCCAGAGACTTGTCCCTTCTGACAGCATGACCAAAGTGTTGTTGTTGTTAGGTGCCATTGAGTCGTTTCCGACTCATAGCAACCCCATGCACAGCAGAACGAAACACTGCCCGATCCTGTGCCAGCTCCAG